TTCTTGTCAGTCAGGGAAAGGAGTGAGGATGTGGGGGCCCTGGCAGAAGTCAATGGAGAACTGGAAGTTAGGCAAAGTATGCCACAATTGCTTCCTTCAAAATCACCGAGGCAATCAGATCTTGAGACCACAGTGCAGGCCTGTCATTGACCGTACTCAGAGCAAAGTTTGTGGGCAAGATATCGGAGCAAGGGGAGTAATAGCACTCACCACTTTCGGTAGGCAATTCAATGATTCACAGCGGGAATTTCATTTACTGCTTACAATCAGACTGTGACTCCAGTGTAGAAGGATCTCTGTGGACATTTTGAGTTCATGCTCTAACACCTGCTGAAGGGTTTTATTTTTATTTTGCTGTTGTTTTCTTGCTTGGCTGTTTGTTCTGGGTTATTCTGATTGTTTTTGTTTTCCTCTGGTTCTTGCATCTTCATTAGTATTGTTTTGTCATTTTACTTTGTTCTTTAAGGTTTTGCTCTTTGTTCTGCTCCCTCTTTTAACAAATTTCCTTCTATTTTTTCCACTTTCTTTCTTTCTTTCTTAGTCTTTTATTCCTCTCTTCTTCACTCTCTTGCCTCTTTGCCATATATATATATATATATATAAAACTAACCATAAATATATTAACAAGTTCTGATAATCTCATAGCCTCCTTCAATTTCTGTTATGATTTTTGTAAGCAGAAATTTTATTCCATGTATGCTGTTCTCTAATTTCTGTGTAAAACCACAACAGAATACACATTTTTCTTTGTAGCATACAGCCTTTATCCAAAATATGTGCATAATAAACTATAAACCCTGCTTAAGTTCAAAAGAATTGAAATCATCTCACATATACTATCAGATTATAACACACTGAAACTAGAACTCATTGAAACATAAACCATAGAAATTTTACAAACATCTTGAGATTAAGTAACACACTCTTAAACACTCAGTGGTTCAACAGAGGAAATCAAGGACCAAATTAAACAATTACTGCGATCAAATGATAATATGAGTAAAACATACCAGAACCTATGGGACACAATGAAAGTAACCCTAAGAAGAAAGTATATTGCTGCAAATTCTCACATTAGAAAAGCAAAGTGAGCTCAAATAACTTAATCATGCACCTCAAAATCTTCAGAAAAAAGAACAGTCCAAACACAAACCTAGTACAAGGAAAGAAATCATGAAAATCAGTGTGGAAATTAATGAAATTGTTACTAAAATCAGTATGAAGAATCAATGAAGAGCTGGTTCTTTGAATGAATAAAAAAATAGACAAACGTTTTACCCTACTTACCAAAAGAAAGAAAAACTTTGATATCAGTGCAACTGGAAACGAAAAAGTTTAAATCCTGCTGGATACCAATGATAATAAGAGATCATTAGTAACTACTGTGAAAAACTGTGCTCCAGCAGCTTGGGGAATCTTGAAGAAACGACAAATTCCTAGACTCATATGTATTACCACAAGTGAACCAAAGAGACATAAAATCTCTGAATCTTCCAAAAACAGAGGATGACATTAAAACAGTAATAAAATGCTAACAACTAGTGAAATTCCAGGGCTTGAATTCACCACTGAATTTTACCAGAACTTCAGAGATGATTTAATGTCCATATGCCTCAAACTCTTTAATAAAATTGAAGGAGAAGGAATACTTCTAAATTGATTCCTGGAAGCCAGCATTACTGTTATGGTTTGTGTCTTGATGTCCCCCCAAAGCCTCATGTAGTCATGGGATGGGCTTCTAGAGTTTATGACTGATTCATGTGTGAAGAGCTGTACATTCCTTGGAGTGGGTAGCTTACATGCAATATAAGGGAGGGAAAGAGGCTTGCTCTTCCCACTGCTGTTCTTCCCTTTGTTGCTCTTGTTGCTTTTGCTATCTTCCACCACCATGAACTGTTGCCCACTGCCATGTGCCACTCTGCCTTGGAGCGAGCTGATTATGGATTGAAACCTCCACAAACTGTGAGCTAAATAAAGCTTTCCTTCCTTAATTTTGGGTGTCAGGTATTTTGTCCCAGCAATGAGAGAAAAGTAGCTGAAACAATTACCCTGTTTCCAAAACCTGTCAAGGATCCAACTGAAAAATAAAAGTATGTCACTCACTTTAATGAATAGAAACACAAAAATCCTCAGCAAGATATTGGCAAATGGAATACAAGTCATCAAAAAATATATTATGATTAAGTAGGCGTCATCCCAGAGATGAAAAGATGGCTGAATGTCTGAATTGTGATTTGTGTCTAGATGTCTCCCCAAAGCCTCATGCAGTCAGAACTTTATCAGGATGCTGCGGTTAAGGGTATGAGTGTGAAACCTATCTTAGGCTGAGTAGCTTGTGTACGATATAATGGACAGAAATAATCTTGTCTCCTTCTCTTGTTGCTTTGCTACTTTCTGGCTGCCATGAATTTGTTCCCCCTTTTGCTTGCTACATTCTTCACACCATGAACTGTACATCTCTGCCAAATCAGCCTGCCTTGGAGCCAGAATATTATGAACTGAAATCTCTATGAACTGTAAGTCAAATACGCTTTCCCCTCTTAGCTTTGGGTGTCAGGTATTTTGTCTCAGCAATGAGAAAAGTAACTAAGACACTATGCATATTAATAAATTGAACAGACTACATAAAGATAAGCAGGAACAAAAACGACATGACTATTTCAATAGATTCCAAAAAAAGTACTTGACAAAATCCAACACCCATTCTTGATTAAAAAAATTCCAGAAAAAAAATGTGTATAGTAGTACAATATCTCAATATATTAAAGTCACTTTTGATAAACCTACTGCTCATATGTATCTGTCTACATATGTATGTGTGTGTGTATGTATGTATGTATCTCACATAGGGAAACAGTTTTTTCTTCCAATGTGAAAGTTACATTACTAAAAATGAGGGGAAAAGAAAGGAAGTTTAATACAATTTTTGCTTGAATTTATGCAAAATCATGGAGCATAATTTAGTTTTATTTAAAATAATAATATACATGAGGCCATCTGTAGATACCTGATTATTATTATTATTATTATTATTATTATATGTACTGATCTAAGGACAGAGGCATATAAATGTAATATGTTTGAACTCACCTAGATTATTTACATTTGGTATAGTCAGAATATAAACCTTGTTGCAGATAAGAAAGTTTAAGTTAAATACACTAACTTCATCTATAAATGTGGCTAAACATAGCAATGATTCATAACCAGATAAAGATACTGCCTTTACTTTAGGGACTAACTTTTTATTTTGCCTTCTAGATGAAAGCAATTATCCCTGGAGGAATTATCATAACATGTAGAAAAGCTTTCCCTAGGTTCTGTTCAAGAGGAAACCTAAAGAGTGTCCAGGGAGACTCATGTTCTAGTATGGCTCAGGAAGAGCTCTTCAGGCTAAGAGTAATTATTGCCAGGGACCCAAGTTCTGTCTCTTTTTTAGAATTCCCTAATGTTGCAATAATAGTACCTACTTGACACTGCCCAACCCACAGTGATTTGCATCTCTTTTTGCTTTCCTTCAAGAGCTCGTCTGTGTTACACAGAAGGAGTCAAGCTAAAGGGACTTGCTTGTTTCTACATTGATGGTATGGTTTGCTTTTATTGATACAAATTTCCTGAATTTTGCCTATGCCACCCTATTTTTCTTTTTTACTATATGTCCCTTCCCCCAGCTGAGAGAATTTGCAAGATGTATTGGGTTCACTTTCTTTGCTTAGTATTGCTTCAGTGGTCAGGAGGTGTGGTAGAGGTTCAAAGCTGAATACTATATGTCTTTTTAACTATCTCTGAAACATATTGTATATTTTTCTAATGTCTTTTGTAGCATTTGCAATATTCATTGTTTGTTCCTTTGTCTACTCTTTAGCTATTGGCAAAGAATGATTGTGTCATGTAGGCTATTCTACACTTTGACCAAGCAGCATATTAACCTTCATTTATCTTTTCCTTCTAGTGGTGAAAATCAAGGACATGTGAAAGGTGAGGGAGGTAGATAAAATCTGAAAGTCTTTGGTGTTCATGAAAGAATGTGTCCTGGAGGTCAAAAGAGGCACAAAATGAGGAAGATTCTTGCTGCATGTATGAACTCATTCACTTTAATTACTTCTTCATGAAATAGCACATATATTTCTACTTCATTCACATGCACAGAAAATTATTTTAAAATTTAGGAAATATTTATTTTTAATATTATATTATTTGAGATAAAAAGTGTCTTTAAAACAATGCCTTGACATTTGTGATATTAAGCATGAGATGGTTGAATGTTAAAAGTTGATCCAGTGAAAAACTTGAATTATTGGAGTGCAAAGAGAAGGAGAATGGATTCCAATAAATGTGTGTGCATGTGTGTGTGTGTGTGTGTGTGTGTGTGTGTGTGTGTAGTAAAATGGTTAATGAGTTTTATTATCAGTATCCAGCACTGGAGGAATAATGACCTCCAAGAAATTATTAAACAACTCTGAGATTTGGTAGAAAGAGTTTTGCAGAATGTCTGAATGGGTCCTTATGTACACCTAACTTTGAAATTTATTTAAATCTTTAATGCCTAGTAAATTCCATATGCCAAATTGTATTATTGTTCTCCACTATGTGTGTTAAAATTTTATAATATTACTTGGTCATAACTCATGTTGCCAGACTAAAATATGTAAATGAGACAAAAATATCAAAACCATCCAAATAAATACATCTTTTTTTCTTGTCAGTGCATAAGAATGGGATTTTCCTTTATCATCAACTACAGACTTCAGGCTATTACATATAATGCACATGATGTCTGCCTGAAGTTCAGCTGGAATGTCTAGGAAAGTTCAAGATTTTCATGAAGAAAAACTGTGAATCAACTCTTTAAGAAATCTTAGTTTTCTGATTTAGAAGTATATACATGATTTTTTAAAGGGAGACTATTTCTCAATTTTTAATCAAATATATTTCTCATTTTAGATGCATGCATTAAATCTTCACCCTTGCTAATTGAAATCAAAGCATCGTCACACACAATGAGTGAGTTTATGCAGTACACATTTATGCTAATTTTAAATGTTGAGTTCATAATTGGAAATTTAGGAAATTGCTTCATAACACTGGTGAACTTCATTGTCTGGGTCAAGAGAAGAAAGCTCTCTCTGTTTGATCAAATCCTCACTACTTTGGCGATCTTCAGAATTAGTTTTCTCTGGTCAGCAGCCATATGTATATTAGCTATTTTTTACCCAGGTTTGTTGACTGAAACAATGAAAAAAATAACTGGTATTATATGGACAGTTTCCAGTCATTTTAACATCTGGCTCACAGCATGCCTCAACATCTTTTATTTTCTCAAGATAGCCAATTTTTCTAAATCTATTTTTCTTTTTCTTAAGTGGAGAGTTAAACAGGTAGTTTCACTGACATTTTTAGTGTCATTGGTCTTCCTGCCTTTACATGTTACACTGACAAACCCACATCTTGATACCTGGATTGATGGATATAAAAGGAATATGTCATACACTTCCAATTTGATTGACTCTACACAAGTATGGAAAAAAGTTTTATTCAGCAATAGTATATTTGCATTCATACCCCTTACTGTGTCCCTACCAACTTTCCTCTTGCTCATCTTCTCCCTGTGGAAACATCTGAAGAGAATGCAGTACAATGCCAGAGGATCCAGAGATGTCAGCACCAAGGCCCACATAAAAGCTTTACAAACTATAGTTGCCTTCCTCCTACTGTATATCATTGTCTCAATTTCTTTCATTGTACAAATTTTGAGCTATGAATTATTGGAAAAAAAATTCATGTTTTTATTTCGCCAAGTGACTATTTTTGCTTTTCCTTCAGGGCATTCATGTGTTGTCATTTTGGGAAACAAAAAGCTGAGACAAGTCTCTTTCTCCTTATTTCAGTGGCTGAGGTGCCGGTCCAAAAATATGGAATCTTCAGCACCCAAGTAAATTTTGGAGACCATCATGCATATTTTTTGGAAAGATTAATTCAAAAGAAATTTTCATGTATTTTACTTTTGTACTTTTCCAACATTCTTATCATACACAACTTTTAAGAATTTCCAAAATATATGCTTGGAATAAACACTAAATAAAAACATTTCAACTTAATCAGTACATTTTAAGTATGTATTTTAATAGTCATAAGTAAGAATAATGACATTGAAGAAATTTTAAATGTAAGAGAGTTTGTAGTCATGAGTATTTTGAATTTGCATAATTGAACTTTCTGAAATTTTAAAGTGAAGTAAGAAATGTGTGTGTTGGCATGCATTTAAGACAGTTACTAAAAATTGAACTCTATAATTTTATATAATTATTTATATTATATAAGTATTTGTTTATACAAATATGAAGAGCAGAAATTTACAACAGAAATGAAGAATAAAATAACTTTAAGTAGATGC